CAATCAGATAAAACAATGCATGTAAGTTGTGGAGCATAATGCCTGGCACATAGTAGGCCAATAAATGGTAACTGTCCTTTTCCCCATCAAAGGCACCAATCTCTGGATTATAAACTTCAAAACACCTTCAAGCGCAATATTTTTCTCATTTAAACTATATTAGAAGCCAAAGTTATAACACCAGAATACTTAAGAAAAGTGTGACATGCATTAAAAATGTTATGTTAGATACCCCATAGAGGTCTCAGTAAACCCTGTTGACTGACAATTGTGTTGTCAGACCATAAAATCACAGAGATGGAGAGAGATAGCAGCATGAAAAGGTAATTTGGAATCAGCACAGGACAATGATTTTACTTCAATAAGTATTTTATTTTTTAAAAACAATAGTAAAGGAAACCGGAAATCATTTGATTAAAAAAATCAGATTTTCTTTTACAGGCACAAGTTTACATGAACACCTAGAGGCACAGTACCCAAAATGCAGGCATCTTACTGGCAAAATTGCTAAATTGAACGCAAAAGTGTTCCAAGTATTGAGGGGATGTGTACGCATGACATTGTCACCACTTCTCGCCACATGAGCCAGGAAGCAGGAGAGCCAGCCATCCGATGCACCCGTGACTGAAGCGCCTGCTGGCACGCTTCCTAGAGCATCATCATCCTGAAGACATGGTTCACCTAATAAATAGTTATTGAGCTTTACTATGTGCCAGGTACCATGCTGGGCTCAGGGACACCGAGATGGATGGATCCCTGTCCTCAAGCAGAGACCTAGACATACATATAAATAATTGCAAGTAGAGAGTGACTGGCTATACTAGAGGTACGTACAAGGATACATGATGGCACAAAGAAAGGAGTGGTCCATTTAACCTGAAGGATTATGGAAATATTCCTCAGAAGTGGTAACAACTGTGGGTAGTTCCATAAAAACTGGGACATTTATAAGTCATACATAATGTATGTATATATAGTATCTTACATGTATAGTAGATACATATCTTACTATCTTTGTGAAATCAGCAGCAAATGATCATCCCAATTTTGTTGATGCGTGGACCATGACCTTACACTCTCTCTTCGTGAATTCATCAGGCTCACCTCATACTTTTAAATTAAACACCTAGAGTTCTTATTGGCCACTAAATGGCCCTCCGTCATTGATGCCTTGCTCCTCACAGGTTCTTGAAGTCATATGAGACAGGCCACCCACAATTATGAAGATCCTGGGGAGGGGTGGGGAGGAAGGAGGCTGAAGGATAGAGGGACACAACTGCCCAGTGTGGGCATCTCAATGGTCTGACAACATAACCCAATATCCTGGAGAATTAAACCGTTTGGAATTGTCAGAAATGTGATAGAACCGCGAGTCGTTCATGAAGCAGTTATGCACGTTGCGAAACCAAAGCCACGGGTTCTTTATTCCACAGTATAAAAATAGAAAAATTTATATCAAGTTAAAAAATAAAAACAAAAGAAAGACATGCCAATTCGTGGAGAGACCCACAACACCCTAGGGTTTGGTGCCACTATAGATCATCCAATTTATGCTACAGAAATAGCCAATAGGTTGCGCATGGGCCTCCACTGCAGGCGTCACTAAACGATCTCAGAATGTTTTCCCACTGAACCTGAGATAAGGGAATAGGTGAGATCCAGAATAGAGTGAAAGTATCTATTGTGCTGTTAAAAATAGTGCTTTTTATGCATCATTGACATGGTCCTGTGGTTGCATTAAAATTGCCACTTCAAAATGTAATCTACCCAATTTCATGTCACAAAGCTGTTATGTGACCTTTCTCAAGGTCACATAATTTCTCTGGGCTTCTAATTCCTCTTCTGTAACATGAAGACCTGGGCCAGATAACCTCCACAGTCGGTTCCCCTTCCGACAATTTCTAATTCTGACTTTCCTCTTTACTTCACATCTAGTTATCCCAAACCTCTATCTGTACCAACAAGCAACTGTCTTGGGCAGCAGAAATCTAACCTCCAGTCTCCAAAGGCACATGAGTGGATTCATAGCCCAAACAGCACAGTCCAGTAGAAATGCCCCACGCGCCCATCTGGTCAGTGTCTTTGCCTCCCACCTTGGGTGCATGTGTGCTAGATGTAAAGCTACAAGACAATGATTGCCACCCCCAAAGTGGTAACTTGAAAATCAAGATTCGCCTTGCCCTCTGTGGTTTCATTTCCTGCCCGGAAATGGAGCTTGGTGCTGCAGATGGGACCTGAGATGACAAACACTGCTAAGATAGCTTCTGGGTTGAGCATGGTTTCCTTTGGTGTGAGATATTGGTAAACACTACAGAGCCTTTTTCTCTTTGTGGGGTCTGGCAGAAAGCACAATTTGGATGGACTTCACCTTGGATTTCCTACTTCTGGGTGAAATGAGTGTGAAGAGCACCCTGGAGTTTTGGTGTTAGGTGTAGGCCCTCAGCAGTGGTTTCCAGCCTCATGGAATCCCCTGTACAGGGAAAGAAGAGCGCCACACACACCCCCACCCCCCGAGGGTTCCAGCCAGTAGGCAGCATGTGTGAAGCACGAAACTACGCTAAGTGTCCCTCCAGGAGGACCAGAAAGTTGCCCCAGGCAGAGCCCACCCCAGCTCAGCAACACTGGGGCAGCCTTCTATGGAGCGGTGAGTTCTGTCTGTATATTTGTGAGGGCATATAATACAGTGTTCGAAAGCATGAATTACAAAGCCAGAGACCTGGGTTCAAGTTCCATCCCTGCCCCTTCCACCGCTGTGACTGGAGCTCTCCAAGCCTCAGCTTCCTCAACCATAAAGTGATGCTAATAGGAGAATCTAAGGATGAAGATTATTGTGAGGATTAAAGAAGACAAGAAGTGTAAAGCCTTATGGTGTAGCAGCTAGCACACAATGCTGCGCTCAGCATACTTGAGCCTGAGACAAAAGGAAAAATCAATACTACTGAGCCTGTCTTTATTTAAAACCTTGATATTTGCTCATCATAAATTTTTTGCATTCATTTTTATTTTTTTTAAATATTGCATTAAAGCATTACTTATCTTGATTACTGAGGGGTTTTTGGCATTGCTTAAATTTTGCACACTTGCCTAAGAACTCAGGAAATGTTTGTTGCCATCATTTTATCACCATCACACAATGACAGCACAACACGATTCAGCACTTAATTACCTAATGTCTCATATTAGTCATTATTCCAAGTGCTCATGTCCTGTTTTACCAAGTAATTTGTACACTCGTTAAGGACACAAATTATGACATATGTCTTTTATCTCTAAAACTGCTGAGTACATAAGAGATTCAAGTAAGTACTCGTCCAGTGATTGCTTGTAGCCCATGGTAGACAATTTGCCATTCCAGTGTTCTCTAATTGTTCCGTGTTTGAAGGTTTTGTTTCATGATCCTTGAGGGCAGAGATGACATCCGGTATTTATCCTATGCCATATCTGGCACAAAGCTGGGGGAACAGAATCAAAGAACTGGCAGGGACCTGTGAGTTGATCTAATCTCACCTGCTCACTTTATAAATAAATCATTTGATACCCAAAGAGGTTGCACAATGTGGCCGAACCAATCAGTGAGAGCACTGGGAGGAGAATTCAGGTGTCCTGGGCCCTTTCCACTTCAGCACTTTCAACATTTTCTTTTATCTCTCCATCCCCTTCAATATCAAGCACAGAGTTGTGCATGTAGAAAAAAATCAATAACCAATGTAGATTATTGATTTCTGGAACTTGAGTAATCTTTGCTTAAAGAGGGAGTAGGGAGTCATTGCCTGGAAAAGTGTATGTGTATTTACCAACTCTCCGTATCTCTTGGCTCAGTGCAGCAAGGTGGTTATAAGAACACTGGATTTGGAGTCAGACAGCTCTGAGTCAAGTCCAGGCTTCACTACTTCCTAGCTATGTGACCTTGGATGAAACTAAGTTTCTTAATTTAATTTTCTTCATCCAAAACATGAACATAATAATGGTACTTAACACAAAGAGTTGCGGAAAATTACACTGAATGAAAACATGTAAAGAGTATGGCAGACTGCCTAACACATAGTAAATGCTTAACAAATATTAGCAATTGTCCCTATTCTAAAAGCAAACCCTAAGAGTTAGGTGGGCTCTAAGGGCAGGTGCATAGAGTTATATATATATGGTTGTGTAATAGACCCACATTTTTATATTATGCTGGATAAAGATTGGGAATGAGAGCTAAATTATCAGTTAAGTATTGATGATCATGCTATATCTATCCTATGAAACCTCATAAATAACTCTAATACCCAATCTATTCTGTGGGATCTCAGGTTCATGTAACCATGACAGGGACCCCACCCGACCACCCACCAGCTGACTAGCTCCTGAAATCTTACAGATTTCCAAAAGCACCAGGCATGAAGGCCGATAGACTATAAAAGGGACCTGTCATAGACTCAAGAGTACCTAACTAAAAATCAGTTTTTAGTTCCATTTCAAGAGAAAATAAACTATATTAGTGAGGACGCCCAATTGATAAGCAGAAGCCCAGACAAATATAATAAGACACTCCATGACTTGCAAAGCCTGGTGCTAGAAACAATAGATCAAGTAGCTCAGGGAAACCAGTCCCACAATTGAGTTCACACAACACCTCACCTTCTAGTGTCTTTAGCCCCCAGCACAAACCAAAACTCTGAGCCCAGACTCATATGACTCCACAGGAAGGTATGAGGTAGAAGTCTGTGTGAAAAGTAGCCTGGTTTTTAGTACTTAAAACTTGGGGGGAAAGAAACAGCCTTGGATATCTCAAATTTCTAATCAAAGATCACAGTATTTTGCATTTTTGCGGCATCTTCATCCCAAAATTCTCAAACCACTTCAGCTTGTCTGGCATTAGCATCTCAGAGAAGCAGCTAAGAGTTCGCTGAGGCCACAAAACTTTAAAGAGCACTTATTACTTACAGCACTTTGGTAAGAAAAATGAGGGAAAAGACAAACACAACTGTTTATCATCCTGGGTCAAACCCTCCACTGGCAAACGGAAACTTCCTTTAAAATTCAAGGCTTTCCACGAGCAATGTGGTATCCTAAATTGGATCCTAAAACAGAAAAAAATGGACATTAGTGGAAGAACTGGTGAAATCCAAAGAGTCCATATTCGGTTAATAGTGTAACACCAAGGCTAATTTCTTAGTTTTGACAAATGCACCATGGTTACATTAGATGTTAACATTTGGGGAAACTGAGTGAACGATAGGTAGGACCTATGTATTTATCTCTGTAACTTTTCTATAAATCTAAAATTATTCCAGAGTTTATTCAAAATTTATTTTTAAAGTAGCAAAATAATAAAAATAATAAGTCAAGACTTCTTTACTGAAGAACCTTTGTTTGGTGGGTAGGAGGGGTGGGGATTATTATTCTCTCTCTCCAGTGAAAAGTATATTAAAAGGACAAAAATCTCCAGCCTTTTACTAGAGATCAGCCAAAAGATGGTGGCCAACTCCTTTTCTCTTTGAGGTAACATGTTGGCAAGGTAAAGAGAACTGGAAGCTCCAGGATTCGGGCTCTCCAGTCTGTAAAATGGAGATAATGATGTCTCTCTCAAGCGTCACTGTGGGGAATAAAGGACACAATGGATGTAGAGCACTTGACAAGCATCAGGAGCTGGGTAAGTGGCATTTTCCTTTGCTCCATCTTAGGACACCCCCACCAACAGCTCCTGTCAGCCACTCAGGGAAATGGGTAGAGGTGGTCCCTCTGGGTGGAAAGACGGCTCCTCTGTCTTGGCAGGTGGGGCTCCCTGTGTTCCTGGCCTCCTGAGGACCTGCTGGACGGTGAGCTGTGGTCTCTCAGCCCCACTTCTAGAGAGCAGCTTGCACCCTGCTGGGCTCCTGCCAACCCCTCTGGGGCAGCTCTGTCTTTGTACTACTTTTTAAAGAACAGCCCACTCATCATTCTGTGGGGATAAGCAAACAGAAAAACCTACCATTTACCCCTTACTTGACTGATTTACTTTTCAGTAGGAGTGAGAAGAGTAACAATGAGTCATGAGCTGAGGCTGGGGCCCAGCCCCTACCTCACAGAGTGGTACTGTGCAAAACCACACGGTGGCTCATTTCTAGAGCGACCTTTGCTCCCCTCGGCTTAGCCCAACTTGAAGTACATCCACACTGACTCATTGTCTTTTGCTTCAAGGAAACTCTTAAATTAACTAGACCTCTTCATTGTGTGACAGTGTCTGGTCTTGCAGATAGAGAATATTTGGTGAAAGTCCCAAGTTTTTATGTCCTACCTCCATAGGTCGTGAATTTCTTGAATAATCTCTGTTCCAAATATTCTGTCTTATTGATCCTAGAAACCATCCAAATGTCCCAGAAATTTAAAATGTTTTAGTATGTATTCTCTCCCAGACAACCTCGTCTACCTAAAGGTGGCCACACATTCTTGCCAGCCTGTTGGCTTTCTTCAGAAGTGGTCAGGGTGCCCATTGCGTGTGTGAGTACTGTCCAGGACATTTCTTACTCTTTTTGGCCTCTTAGCATCTGAATCCCCTTGCTATGTTTGGGGAGTCCCTCTCTCCGGGAGGCAGAGCTGGTGTCCCTCTACAGAGGCTAGCAATGAGAGATGTTTGCTTACTAGCCTCCCTTGTAGCTGGAGGCCTGGCCATGAACCAGTCTCCACCAATCAAATGTACCTAGTCTAGACTTTAAATTGGAAACTTGGTTGTTAGTACCATCAAGTGGATTCCGACTCCTAGCGCCCCTGTGCATAGCAGAGCGGAACCCTGCCCCGTCTTTTTGTGCCATCTTCTCACTTTCCAGCGCTATACCAGATGATGCTCCATTGCTATTCATAGGGTTTTCATGGCCAATTTTTTTGGAAGTGGGTGGCCAGGTTTTCTTCCTAGTCTGTTTTAGTCTGGAAGTTCCGCTGAAACCTGTTCACCACGGGTGACCCAGCTGGTATTTGAAATACTGATGGCATAGCTTTCAGCATCACAGCAACACACAGCTGCCACAGTATGACAACCACAGATGGGTGGTGTGGTTCCCTGACCGGGAAACAAACCCAGACCACAGCAATGAGAGCACCGAATCTTAACCACTAGACCACCAGGGCTGGCTAAAATTCGAAACTAGTCATACAAAAAAGTAGGGGTCACACAGAATTCTGGCAAAGGGGACAGCTCCATCCAGTTTACTGACATACCAGGCAGGGGCACATTCAGGGGCCGTTTCCAGCATTTATTGTTGGTGTGGCACGGGGACAAGCTGCAGGATCTGTTCTCAGCAGGAGCAGCACTGGATCTTCACCAGATCAGTTCTGCAGCATATTTTGAATATCTTCCCTGGCCACGTAGCCCCTGAGCCTGGCCCTTTGACCTTTCTGGAAATTCTACAAGCCAGGGCCCACTTCACAGGTGGCCCCATATAGTCACACAGTGTCCCAGGCTCAGCATGGTCCTGTACTTGTTTTAATGCTTTGCTGTCCATCTTCCAATTCTTTAAATTTTTGACCAAGAGGCCTCACATTTTCATTTTGCACTGGACTCTGCAAATTATGTAGCCAGTCCTGTGAGCTAGCTAGTGTGCTTTAGGTCAAGGAGTTCTTAACCTTTTGTGCGCCACGGAGCCCTTGAAGTACCTTTGCACCTATGAAGCACATAAAGAGTGTTTTTAAATGCACAAAATAAAATACATAGGAAGCCAATTATATTGAAATATAGTTAAATTATTTTTTTAAATAATATGATATATATTACCTTATCATGATATATGATAGCATAACATGTGCTTTTTTATTAGTGCATTAAATGAATCTAGTGGCAGGTCTAATAACTGCTATTATTGCAATGAGCATAAACAATATTTTGGAATGTCTGCAACAATTGGAATGTGACTTGAAAATATCTATGATTTCTAAAGGTGGTAAAGTCACAGGTACCTGGATTGTTGTCTACATTCGTAACTTCAGGAAATGCTAAATTCAGTGAAAGATTATTAAAATAAACACAAAAGTGATCCATCCAAGTCACAGAGCCCCTAAATTTTAATTAAAATTTAATTTAATTTTAAAACAATTAATTAAAATTTAATTTAAATAAATTCCTTCTCTGCTTCAATTACCCAAAGCTGTTATTTTGTTGCTTACACAACAGAAGCCTGTACGATACAGGTACCCAGTGTGCCCCAGGCTCCAGGACCAGCCCTGGGTATGCCAGGGTTCTCCACGGAAGACAAGCAAACACAGTACTCACGGTGGCCCCGGGCGAGTCGAAGATGTATCCAACACATCTCTGCCCTCAGTTGTTAGGACCATCCAGGAGAAAGTGTCAATGATGACACTCCAGGACACTGTCTGGAAAACATGTGACAAGCCTTACGTGTGTGGTATAAACCAAGTGATCTAGATGGCTGAGCAAGAGGAGATCTCTTCTGGCAGGGAAGATGAACTGTTAACAGTGGTTCTACATTATGAGAAGGGAAACAAGACACACAGCTGTGTAATCGTTGCTCCAGAATGATTGATGAGTCCCCTTCCTCAATTTCCCAAATCCCAATCCAGGATTCTTTGTTCTAGCCTAGATCACCTCTCCAGTATTTCAACATGATCTTGTTTTTTGCCGATGTCAAAGGAAATATGAAAACATATGTCCACATGTACTATTCTCTTGTTCCCCTTCCACGCTGCCTTTTGGGAGGGGGGGACTAGAAAGCCCTTTGAAGCAAAGAGAATATTTATCTTTTGGACACACTCGAGAAGCCTGGGTTTGTTTAGCAAAAGTAGAAAACAATCCATTTGCGGATATCCTGAACTTTTTAAAGTTGTTTCATATCCATTATTACACTGGAGTTCTGGGCATATATATACATACATATATATATATGTATGTATATATGTATATATTTTTGGTGAGGAAGATCGTCCCTGAGCTAACATCTGTTGTCAATCTTCCTCATTTTGCTTGAAGAAGATTGTCCCTGAGCTAACATCCGTGCCAATCTTCCTCTACTTTGTATATGGGAGAGCGCCACAGCGTGGCTTGATGAGCAGTACGTAGGCCCACGCCCAGGATCCGAACCCACAAACCCCGGACCACCAAAGCAGAGCACGTAAATTTAACCACTATGCCACCAGGCCAGCCCCAGACATATATTATTATCACTATTTTATAGATGAGGAAACCGAGGGTCAGAGAGGTTATGACTTGCTCAAGGTCACAGAACAAGGAAGAAAAACCAAGGTTTCTTGCCTCTTAGCTCAGTTCCCTTTCCTCTGCCTACATCTCTCCTATGAGCAGATCATAAAAAAAGAGGAGCTATCTCTGAAAGGGAAGTACATTCATGCAGATCTTCTAAAAACCAAGATACCCACACCCCAAATTTTGAAGAGCAGGTGTCAGCTAAGAGAGGAGAGGCTCAAAAGAAAACACAGGTCATTGAGTCCTCCGGCCTTGAACAGGATTTAACTGGGGCCCCTGACACAGGACAGAATTCACTTGGCTGGTGACCAGCACCAGAGTCCCTCCCATTCCTGCCTGGGAGTTATGCTCATTACAACAGCAGCAGCAGGAAGAGGGTTTCACGAACATAAAAATAAACAAACTTTCTATTTTTAGCATGGCTGCATCTGTGAGAACTTCATTATTTGCTTTTTAGCTGCAGCATTCTGAGGGAGGAGAAGCAAGGGTGGAGAGGGTGGGGGACGAGGACAACTAGGGACACTCACCCTGGGAGCCAAATTTTCCATTGCTGAGCCTACTTACACACAGGCCACAGACACCAATGTCCAGCCTGGAAGTCTCTGGAGTCTACAGGTCTGGAAAAACTGAAGAGCGTCAGCCAGGAAGCTGGCCCATGACTGGGCTCTTCTCTGGCCGTATATAGAAATAAATAATCTTTTACCCACATGGTTTTCAGAGCCACTGAAAACTGTGTTGCCTAGCGACTCCATCAGAGGGGTGAAAGATAAGCTTGTCCGTAGAGACCTTCCGCTTCACTTAGGCTCTAGTCAGAACCTGTGTGAAGCTAGCAGGAACTCA